AGGCCTCTCTCTTTGGACAAGGCTCCTCTGGGCTTTTTTAGAATCCAAACTTCAGTAGAGGGAGCATAACAGTTCATTTGCGCCTTGAGTCCTGAGCCCCACCTGTCTTTAGATCTGACTTGCTTTGTGGTAAAGGTGGTAGGATATGGGTACAAGCTGTAGGACCCAGGGTGGTGGTGAGAACTGATGGGGAATATATGACTCTCATGAGGGTGGGGCTCTGAGATGGAAGGGTTTGGGGTAGGTAGCCCCAGGGGAACTGACTCAGGATTTTCTCAGCCTGTGGAACAAACACCTGTTTCTTTTCAGATTGCAGAAGATGCTCAAATGCTGCTGGGAGTGTGGTCTAATTCAAAACGTGTCTCCGCTGGTTGGCTGTCCTTCCACCTCCAGCTGTTCACCTGTTGACCTCCAGGAGCTGCAGTCCTTCCAGCAAATGCAGAGACTTGGGGAAGGTCATGAGGATACAGCAGATGCAATGCTCATGCCCTTTAGTCCATGAGATGTTTGGCACCTCTGCACGTTTTGCAACATTTGGCTCCATTTTCTCTTGGTGCCAATTGTTATAATTCTTGCATTTAGTTCTCCAGCTGCTTGAAGAAGAAATCTAACCGGAGAGAACATTTTCCAGTCTCTCCTTTGGTTGTGGAAAATGAGGTAGATCTCTACCTCAGGATCTTATTGTAGCAAATGAACAAGATGCCGTGTGAGACTGCAGGGCCTCAGGGTTTCCTTCTCTGTCCTGGTCAAACCACACCATCTTTTATTGTTATTTTATTTATTATTTGATTAATTAATTTAAAAATCCTCACCCGAGGATATTTTTTTCTATTGATTTCTAGAGAGAATGGAAGGGAAGTAGGAAGGGGTTTCTAGAGAGAGAGAAACATGGATAAGAGAGAGACACATGAATTGGTTGCCTCCTGCATGTAGCCCTACTGGGGCCGGGGAACCTGCAAAGGGAGGTATGTGCCCTTGACCAACCTTTGGGCTGATGCTCTGAACACTGTGTCAAAGCAGCCAGGGCGTCACCATCTTTTAAAGGGGAAGATGATATTTATGATGGTTACTTTTAGAACGTTTTAAACTATGTAATGCTACTTAAATTTATATCTCTCTATAAAGTAATACTTTAAAAATACAATTCCTTAGGAATTTTGTTTTATAACACACAGTATTTTAGGTGATTATTGTTTGTCTACGTCATGCAGTAAATAAAACCAGGGATTCTGATAAATTACTATGGAAACAGAATTTACCATCTTAGTCATATTATGGAATAAAAAAATCATATGGATCCTAAGGAATGAGGATTTTTCTGATATTACCAGCACATCCACCCCCACAGTGACTTCTCTGTGATTCTGTCCCCGTAGACTCACCTCCTTCAGTTGATGAAACAGCTCTATTTTTAAGAAATATATTTTATTGCTTTTTATAGAGAGGAAGGGAGATAGAGAGTTAGACAAATTGATGAGAGGGAAACATGGACCAGCTGCCTCCCAGTGGGGATTGAGCCCCCAACCAAGGTACATGCCCTTGGCCAGAATTGAACCCAGGACCCTTCAGTCCACAGGCTGATGCTCTATCCACTGAGCCAAACCTGTTAGGGTGGAAACATCTCTACTTCTCAAAGCTGTTTAATCCCCTCATAACAAAGAGTCAGCATCCAGGATATATAAAGAGCTGCAAATAAATTAGATCCCATCAAATTGTTCAAAGATGTAGGAGAAAGGTTGTGAGGAGTCCAAGGAAAATAAATTTTTAAAAATAATCCAGCTATTTTATTGGATGTGCTTTGCCTCCATGGATGAGGGGCTGTCTTCAGTCACTCGGAACATTTGATTCTGGTGTTTCCCTCTTGGCATGAGATGCCCATAATTTTTATTTCATTTCCTTTTGGATCTTTATATCACAATGCACATTATTATTGATTATTGTCTGTATCAGTCTACTTCCTCTGTGATCTTTTATTTTTAAGGACTGCATGATCCTCTGTCAAGTTTCCTTGTCAAGGGGGTGGGGGAGCGAAGGAGACATATGTAATACTCTTTGTAATACTTTCAGCAATAAAACAAAATTTTTAAAAAAGATTTGCAAACCTATTCACTGAACTCCTATTAGAATAGTGAAAACTGAAAGGAACAACTGTGCAAACTCTCTCCTCGGAGTTTCTCTTGTATAGTAATAAAGTCCTGTTGCCAACATCTTAAAAAAAAAACCCCCAAAACACAAACAAACAAAAAAACACACAAACTAATGCTTAAGGCAAAGACCCCATGGATCTTCAGAACTTCCGATGATAGTGGCTGTGCAACTTCCACACGGATCTGGAGTTGGGGGTGCGTGGGGAGTGGAATAAACGAGGAGAATTGGCAGATGGATCCTCAGACTCCTCCTCACAGAACTGTCAACCCGCAGGAGTCTCAACTGGAGATCTCAAGAGCAGAAGAGAGAAAAAAAAGGCGGTGGTGGCGGCGGATGAATCACCATTCTCAGCCCTGTAGTTGCCTAAGTCCTGTGATTTCCCCCTCTGGGCGCGCGCACACACACACACACACACACACACACACACACACACTACATTTGGTGTTAAATATCCAATCAGGTCCAAAGATAACAGAGAAAGGCCAGTTCATTCCCAGTTTAATCAGATAATGATGGAAAATACATTTTGAAAAGATTGAAAAGCTCACAAATAATCCAGATAATACAAATAAAAAGTACAATAGATACCCTCACACACCCATAAAAGTGTCAAACACTTTAAATTGTGTCAACCCTAATCACTGGACAGGAAATTCAATAACAGGAATTCTCTTGCATGGTTGTTAGAAGTCTGAATTGAATCAACCCTGTGAAATATGACAGTATCTAGTACAGTGGACTCATCATATATGGAAATCTGAGTGTTACTTAAAGTCTTAGAAACATGGACTAGAAAGTATGTGGATACTATATGTTTTTTTATTGGAGTATTGTATGTCATAGCAAAAAAATAGCAACAGGTTAAATATTCAGAAAAGGAAAATCTATTTAAAATGCTGGTAAAATATTTCTACTTCTCTCTACCTGACAGACAAAATAATCTAGACCT